CTTGACCAAAACGTGACCTAAGCTGGCCTTAAAGTCTGTCTGACCCACATAATCGCATTTGTCATGTAAAATGGACCATAAAACATATATCACACGACACTTTCATATTGTGACCCCCCCAGTGACCTGACCTCTGTGACCTGACCTGGTATCAGTGACCTCAAATAGCAAAATATGTGTTTGATGGACATTTCTCCACCGATGATTTTCAATGAAATGCATTTCACTCGATTTTACAACGCATTTCTTGACATGCCTGTAAACGGTGAAAATTCGACCTTTGACCTGACCTGTGACGTCATCGGTTTGACCGAGGTCAATGAAATTGGGTCACAAGGTAGTTCCCCGTTGGGGCTATCCAACACCGTTTACCGCTTGTCGGTATGTTGCGTGGTTCTCGAGATCTGAGGGGGGGTCCAAAATGCCCCCCCATCAGACCGCGTTGCTCGGCAGACCCCATCAGACGTCATGACCTTGACCTGAGGTCAAATTTTCAAGTTGACCTTTCAAGGTCAAGTTATAGTTCATTCGATGTGTCTTGACGAGAGGAACTTGATGCCGGTAAAAGTAAGCTCGTACAAGGCTTGGGTCAAAAGTTATTGCAGAAAAACTGTTTCCGAAAAATCGGCTATTTTTGCAGTTTTTGCCCCTTGCAGGCAAAACCGTTGAAGTTAGGTCATCTGAGAGAATTACTCAGAAAGGGTGTTAATAGGGCTATCGAATGCGCCTTTCCGCGGCGCTGTAGCTCTATTGGTTACCGAGTTATGCGTTGGCTTCTTGGAAGTTTTCGACATTCGACCTGGAAATCGGCGAAATTTTGCCTTCAATGACCTCTGGTGACCTGACCTTTGACCTGACCGAAAAATTGACCAAAGTGATTTCGTCATTATTTTTGACGCTCTTTCGAACGCCGCCTTCCGCGTATCGCTACGTGGCCCAGGAGCCGAGTTAGAAGGGGGGTGTTCAAATACCCCCCCCCCCCAGCAGGGCGTGGAAATCCAGGACCCCCAGCCGGGCGCGGGTTAAGCTGATCCTCAAGTACCTATGTGTTTGTCTCTTCCTTATTCTCGTTTGATAATTTCCATTAATCCTACATGTATCAAATTACCAAGAAGCCATCGCAGTACTAATCAGTGGCGAATCCCAGGGGGAGGTCACATGGGTCATGACTTTGGGCCTGGGGTCACCACATGCCTGCCAGGAGCACCACAGGCCTGACAGCCGACAGGGGCACCACAGGCCCGCCAGGGGTACCACAGGCCTGTCAGTGGCACCACAGGCCTGTCAGGAGCACCATCGGCCTAGCAAAAGCACTACAGGTCTTCCAGGGGCACCACAGACCTGCCAGGGGCACTAGAGGCCTGCCAGGGGCACTATCGGCTTCGCAGGGGAACCACCGGCCTCGCAAGGGCACCATGGATGGGCCTGTCAAGGGCACCACATGCCTGTCGTTGGCACTTTAGGATTGTCAGGGGCACCACAAACCTGTCAAGGGCACCTGCGCTCTAACAGGGGCACCACAGGCTCGCCAGGGGCACCACAGACCTGCCAAGGCCCAGGGACATCACAGGCCTAACAGCAAGGACACCACAGGCCTGTCAGGGGCACCACGGGCCTGTCAGGGCCCATGGGCACCTAAGTCATGTGCAGGGTCCACCATAGGCTTGTCAGGGGGCAGGGTAGGTAGGTACCACAGTCTTTCCAGGGGCACCAGCGGCCTAGCAGGGGCACCAGTCATCACACGACTAACCAAAAATAAAGAAAATAAAAACTGAAAATAGGGCACCACCAAAATTAAGTAGCCGAAATCCGTTGATGTTTTAATTTTGGGTATAGGTAGGGGCACCACTTCGATTCATGACCCTCCCCTTGGAGTTTTCCCGAATCCGCCCCTGGTACTAATACATCAAATTTAAGGGGGGGGGCACCTTGCTATTGGTGCCCCCCTTGCAGAATTCAAGGGAGGCACGGTGCCCCGGTGCCCCCCCGTTCCGCCGCCTATTCAGAGTGGGGTGGGTTGTATCAGTTTTTACTCCGAGACCCATAGCCTCGTAACTATCCGTGGTAAACTTATTATTTCCATGCTATCTCATTCTTTGATTCTTCTGCTTTTTTGTGCAAAGTAACTTTTCCGCTACCTCTACCAGTTTTTCTTCTACGGTCTGCCGAATAGCACAATGTTTTTGATACAACTTGCCCCATGGCTTGGGTGAGTTGTATCACATGATGGGGTAGTTTGTATCACTATTTCACGTTTCAGGGAGTGTGCTTGCTACTGGTTTTGAACATACCAACAACATTAAATGGGGTTAATACAATGTATATGCTCAAAGGCTACACTTCTATTAGACCAAACTTAGGTCAATCCGAACGAAACATCGAAACGAACGAAACATCAACAGACTAGACGCAGAAGTGGTACGTTAAGAGCAAAGAAGCCAACACATTGTGCCGAAATGGAACGAGTATTGACTGGCTACCTACAAACGCGAGCCAGGGCTTAGCTTTCGCGATCAAAAGCAACATACCCATACATACATACATACATACATGTTACAACATACCCCACCCGGCTCTGATACAACATGTACCTCGCCGCCATCTTGGAAAAAAACATCCTCGTGCTAAAAAACAGCGGACAGCTGGAGAAATCCATTTTCACTCACGCAGCCTTAGAACCTACCCTCACCACCGCTACGGAGATCTTTCAAATTCGTGCACATCTAAATGCCCAAAACACACATTTTCTTGCAACTTATTTTTTTAGAATAACATTTAAAAAACATAAAATCGGCTCTCACCTCGAGACGCGTCCACCCAGCCACACGACAGAACAGGGAAAGATGGCGCCCGGAAAACCTCGTCGGCTGGTCGTGTCACGATCGCCATCTATTGGATAAGTTTGGCACAATTCACCCTGATGCAACTTGGACATGATACAACTCTCCCCGCTCTCCCCTATATACAGCTCTTACATTTTAAGACGCAAATTCTTGAGCGGAGGAGCGATCTGCCGAAGAAACTCCAACTGTAAGCTTGATATGGAACAAACTATAGGTATAGGTATCCAGTTTCTACGAACCAATCGGCAATCCATGGCAGCTCGGGTCCGGAATTATGCGCTTTTGATCGTAATTAGTTTTTACTCCTATTATTCGCAAAACAAACTCAGGGGCGGCGGATTGTGGAAGAAGGGGTGCAGCAGGCAGTGGCGCGGGAACCGGGGGGGGGGGGCTAGGGGGGCTGAGCCCCTCCAACTTTTCGGCTGGGGGGCTCGTAATGTATTTGAGCCCCCCAGCTGGAGGAATCGAAATCGGAAATCTACCAACACAATTTCATAGATTCATACATAGGCGCGGGAACCGGGGGAGAGGGCAGTGGGGGAAGCTTGCCCTCACAACTCTGGGGCCATGGGGGCGGTGCCTCACAACTTTTCATGAGGCCAGGAACCGTTGGGGCAGCTTGTCCTCCCCAAATTAGGGGTTGTGAGTCACAAAGGAAGAAAGCATGTGAGTGAAAAATCTACCTATTTTACTGACTCGGCAACTCATTTGGCAGCTTAAAACCTTTATTCCAGGTTGCCAAAACGGTAGTTTCTTCACTCAGCTGAGACGGAATACCTCACTTTTTTGCAAATATTTTCTTCTTCTTTTTTCGTTGAAAACGCCAAGGTCTGAAAAATAAGTGGCCTAAAACCGATGAGAAAACTAGATTTGGGGGTACCCTAGGTTGATCTCTATGATGGTTCAGCCCCCCCCCCCCCCCCAGTCTGGAAGAAGTTCCCGCGCCACTGGCAGCAGGTGTGGTGTGCGGTTGCATCCTCCCAGTCCCACCCAAAGGGGTGCAAAGATAGCATTTTGTTTCACGAAAATCCGTAATGCTGCTTTTCAAGGGGTCCGTCGAACCGTCGCTTGCATTTCATCTGGAAAACCAGTGGCCAGGCCAGAGGTTGGTAAAAGCCGATGTGAGGCAATCGAAAGCCCACCACTGACCACGCCGGGCTATCAGGCCTGAAAGCTGTTTTTCAGTCCTATGACGGACCTTGACATTATGATAAAAAAATTGTCAGGCTGCATAACGTTACAGTTCGAATCGACGGTGGGCCCCTAGGATAAGAGACGGGGGTGAGATCTCACCCCTTTCACCCCCCCCCCCCTGGCTGCGCCACTGACCACGGTAAGGTATGACCAGCGCAGAGCACCACACCGGGTTTGGTTCCCCATGCTGGCTCTGAGGACAGGGCCTCCAAAGCAGGCACTGAAGGTCATGGTGACGCAGGCTCCTGGGGCCAACCTAGTCTCTGAGGGCCACATGCGAACCCACGACAACCTCTGAGGTCCCACGTAGGCTTTGACTTTACTTCACAACAGAATGGGCAGAAAAAATAACAAAAATAACAAGTAAGTCAATGCGCTTCATGAAGCCATGCTGATGCAAACTAATCAATTTATAAGATAATACCAGCATAGGTAAGGGCTGCTACTTACATCTTTTTATTCCCACATTTACATGTTCAACGACGAAGGTCGAAGGAATGAGAAGTATAAGAGTGCACTCGCAATGGCAATTTGTCTTGCGGCTAAATGTGTTTACCTACTAGCTGGACCCTTCCCTACTTATAATCGTACCAGCCTGTGATTTAAAAAGCTCCAAATGCATGCGTGATAAACAATGGAGCAACTGACACACAAACACAGTGCAGCTTCGAGAACTAGGGCAGCTAACAAGGCGAGTCGGTGTTCCATTTAGGATTTTATTTTCTCCCCACTGAATGGGGAGAACGATAGAAAGGCTTATGGTTCAATTCGTGGAGCAAAAATCAATCCGTGTGTTATATATGAGGTACGAGTCATCTTATTCGATCTCTACAGCCGAAAGCAAAGATTCTCCCATCAACTGTCACTTCATCCCATGAGCCCGTTCTCAAAGGTGCGTCACTACTAAAGGTCTTGCAGATTCGTCGCTTTCCCCATTCCTGAGAGCCTGTTGGTCGAGGCTCGTCACTGCTGGGGGTCCTGATCCGTGTACCTGACCACGGTCCGTCCGTTGAGCGGCTGCAGCTCCCTCCAGTTGTTCTGGATGGTCTCGTTGCCAGCCGCGTCGGCCGACAGGCTGGTGCGCAGCTGCTCCAGGAACGTGGCCTCCACCGAGACGGGGCGGTCGCTGACCAGCCACGTGACCACCCGACTGCACGGCGGCGTGGTCAGGCTGCCCTCGTAGCTGAACAGGCCGCGCACGGCGGCGCGCAGCAGCCCCCGCAGCGGGCGCAGGTCGGCCAGGCGGCTCAAGTGGCTGCTCAGCTGCGACAGCTGCGACAGGTCGCCATCCAGCCCGAGCGTCGGCAGCGTCGGGCCCAGCGCCGCGTCGGGCCGCAGCAGCAGACCCAGCACGGCCAGGCCGTCGGTGTGCTCCAGCGCCGCCGACACGCTGCCGTACTTCTGGTTGAAGAAGACAAAGTGCGCCTCGGCCTGCTCGAAGGCGCCGTTCATCTTGTGCTCGGAGCCGCGACCGCCGGCCGGGTCGTTCCAGTGCAGGTGCATGTGGTCCATCGTGTAGAGGCCGCTGACGGGACCGGGCTGGGCGCCTTTCAGCTGGACGGCCGGCTGGTCAGAGGCGTCCCGCAGCGTCACTTTGAGCGTGCGGCCCGTGTTGCTGGCCGTGAGCTGGCCGGCCTTCAGATCTTTGGCGAAGCTCAGCTGTGGCCGTCCGCCGTCGCCCCAGTCGCGGACCTCGGACGTCTCCAGACTGACGGGCGACTGGCGGTCCTGGGCACACTGCGGGGACTGCGCCGACCAGCTGCTCTGGTCCGCGTAGCTCCAGCTGGGCTCGGAGGCCGCCGGCTGCGCCGTGGCCGGCAGAAGGGCCGTCACCGCAAGCAGCAGGAGCGACAGCAGGGACATGGTGTGGGAGACTGGGGACCGAGTGACTGATGACCGTGTGGGACTGAGCGCCTGACTGATGACCGTGTGGGACTGAGCGTCTGTCTGATGACCGTGTGGGACTGGGCGTCTGTCTGCTGACCTGTGTGGGACAGAGCGTCTGGTGGGTACCGACTGCCGACGATCGGTGACCTGTGTGCCGTTAGTGGCGGTCAGTCGGGTTTTATACCATCATCTGCCTCACAACTGTCACTGAACGCAGTTCCGTATTTGCCCATTTTGTTCGCCACTTATACCTGCCACCGGACGGGGCTGCCGGACGCACGCACGCTTTACGGTTTACGCACGTAGATCGAGCTGATAAACTGGAAATGAAACACACGTGCCACTCCCAATGTCGGGTTTTATTGTTCAGCAGACTTTGATGTTTTAGAAAATTGTTCTATTCCACTGAGCACTCGTTGCATTCCGATTCCCGAGATAGTTTCGCAGATAACAAACTATTCAGTGGTGTTTCGTAGGCTCAAGGCTGTTCCGTTGTTGCAAATAGTTATGCGCAAAGCTCGACTACCTATTTTCGTAACCATTGCGGTTAATCGGAATCGCGTTTGTGTTTTGCTTGGCTCGGCTTTTGTTTGCTCCCGATAGAAAAGTTAACCCTCAAATTATAGGGAGCCCAGATGGACCCCAAGTGACACATGAAGCCACTCGTTTTTGTTTCGGATTACTCGCGCGAGGGGTGGGGGCGATCGCGACGAAACTTCAGTTCAGTACCCTCTCTTTAAGCAGTTCTACACCCACTCTCAAATTTTCACTATTATCCTGATCTAAATGACCTTGAACCCGCCATTGCCTGAGGGGGTCCCTCGCCGGACCTATTGGTTTTCTACATACGCGCCGGACGAGGGGGGTAGGACCCCCTCGCCGTTTCGCCCCTGGTGGAGCTAGCGCGTCGCGGAAAAAGGAGCGTGTGCACCGTTACGAGACGCAGAGATCGATGCCCGATTTTAAGGTCCTAGGTCCTGACCTATATGACTAGGATGACCTCGGTACACTTTTCAAGTTATGCATGTTTCTAGGCTAGTTTTTTTGGAGCTGCATTCGATTTTAGCAACCATTTGAACATTTAAGAAGTAGTTTTGGTGCCTTCGTAACATGTTACGAAGATGTCAGAGGCGGTTGACACGAAGGTACTACGAATACCCGGCAGGACCCCTACTGGTTGACCTGACCTGACGTGACCCACCTGGCCTAAATGCATAAAGACAACATCTGTGATCAAAACTAACATAATATTCGTGATGCATGTTAGTATGACGCATGAATTCGTATCTTTCGTATCTTTTTTCGAGCCGGAAATGTGCCCCTTCCGCAATATGCATAGCATATGTGCAATGGGGGCAATAGGGGAAGATGGGGGAACACCGCCCTTTGGGGAACACCGCCCAACCCGATTTCAGAAATATAAAAAGGTCTAGGGCGACAGCTGACTGTCTTTTGGCAGCGTGACGACAACAGAAGTGCAGGTAGGGGCAGTGCACCGTATTGGTTTAGGTGATTTGAGAGAAATTCCTGATTTTACGTTTCGCGAATGCGTTTTATACTTTTTCTAGCATAATAAGCAGAAGAAAACTGATCTTATTTGACAGACTTTAGTCCTGAAGAAGTATTTTATGCTATAATTGGGACTCATCCAAGCATTACGTACTCCTGTTCGAGCGAGATTTTTGTCGTGCTGCCATATTGAAGGATTTTTTTGGAAAAATGCAGACACTTGGGTAACACCGCCCACTTGGAAAATTCGGTATTTAAAAGCACATTGTGACACCTAACCCAGGAGTGGCGCATTTCAAATTAAGAAAGAACGCTGTTGCTATGTTTTCTTTTTAGAGGATAATGAAAAATTTCGAGAAAATGAAATTTTGGAGCTTTAAGTCGTGTAGTTGTATAAGTGAGTACTACATTGTCCCAGGGAAATAATAAAGTCGTTTCTACTGTATTTTATAAATCTACTAAAACGCCTCGAAATTTACGATAAGAAGAACAACTAGTCCAGCAATCTGCAAATTTCGTTGCCTGCTGAGCTCGGGCGGTGTTACCCCGAAAAATGTAGACATTTACTAACTTGTGAAATAATGCAATTATGAGCGACACTACAAGAAAACAATTGGTTGATATGTATGTAAAATTGATGCGACAATCTAATGAAACTGAGAGATTGATCATTTGGCCAAAAAGTACGGGACTAGACCCTAGAAGACTAACCCAGGCCGGACCTATTGGTTTTCTACATACGCGCCGGCCGAGGGGGGGGGGGGCGGGTACGACCCCCCCTCGCCGTTTCGCCCCTGGTGGAGCTAGCGCGTCGCGAAAAAAACGAGCGTGTGCTCCGTTACAAGACGAAGAGATTGGTAACCGATTTGAAGGTCCTAGGTCAACCGGTGACCTATGAGGTCAGGTCAAGTGCCCCAAGGTACGGTTCAGTTTTTGGTCAATAACTTCGCAAAAAACGGCCGCAGAGCGCCGATTTTTGCAGCATCGTGTTCGCCTCGCTCAGGTGCGTCGAATGATATACTTTTTGTTTGTGTCAGGCAACTTAGGGTGTTGACCTCAGGTCAAGGTCAGGTCAGCACCCCCGGGTCACGAAGTTGGTCGAAAGAGGTCATGTCGCATATCATTCGATTCGGCAGGTCTTCCTGAGTCCATTGGTGGCTTTCCCGACTCACTAGCTCAATTTGATCGGGAGTTATTGACGAAAAACTAATATGACCTTGATGACAGCGGCGTATTTAGAAAATCGCGAAGGGGGGGGGGGGCCAAGGGTTTGGAGGGCGCCACCTCACCCAAGGAGGGCGCCATACGTTCGCGAGATAAAAATCCTTAACGATCGCTCAGCGGAGGGGGGGGGGGGGGTGGGAGGCCTTTTTTTACTGCGCCACCAGTTTTTTTGCGTACCTTGGTATAGGTAATGCTGCATTGATTTTCCATCGTGTGTGTTTTGTTTTTACTCCAGGTCACAAAAGGTCAAGTCACCCGCTCAGCTTAAATGACTATGCTTAAAACATTTTTTTAAGTTAGGTCACTCGACATGGCCTGATGACCTTGCTTTTAGCGACTATGGTTTACATTTTATAAAGCACGTGTAAGAGTAATGTACCAAAAGGTGTGCCCCTCCCGCTCACCCAGTTCCCTCCCCCAACAGGAAAAAACGGAAGCTCGTAGCGTAGTGGTATATGGGATTTTTCTACCGCATGTCTGAAGAAATGTCCTGGCGCGGGTTATTCTGACACGTGACGAAAAGGTTGGAAGTGATTGGCTATAAGTTCCTACTAAAGAAGTGTTGTTGTGCGCGCCGAAGGCGCGCGAAATTTTTGAAAACAACCTTTTCCTCCGCCTTTTAGGCACATATTTTACGTGCTCACTGTTCAAAGCTCTTCTCGCTCTTTTACCAAATTTGAAGGTGTAAAAATACCTAAGGTTTGGTGGGGCCGGTGCCACACAAACTGTATAGGAAGCTTCGCCCATGGGTGACGATGTAGAAAAGTTTATTGGCGGTGGCATACACACCAGACCACCATATCGGATTGATACCGGAGCGTGAGGTGCGTAAACACAAGCGCACAACGAGAAGGCGGCCGAAACAGAAAGATAGGTGAACCATAACAGGACTGTTCCTCATGAGATTGATTAGCCTCCTCGGGCTTCTCATCCAAATTACCTCGACCAGCCCTCATGGCCTTCTCACAGATGCATATTACAGTGTTGAATACCTAAATAACCAGCTTCAATCACCGAAACTGATGCCTGCTGTTGCAGCCGAACCTGTTGACAATACTTAATCGTGATTCATATAAAATAGATGTCATGATGCATGTAAAGCAAGATCAATCCGTTAAGACCAAAGACGTGTTTTATGCATGGTAGAGCGTAGACAGTTTTGGTATGCTTCATTCATTATGCTGAATGCACGTTCATTTGTGGCAGTTTTCACAGGCCACAAATGAACAAAGTAGATAAATCAGGAAAAACATCAATATGTGCAAGAGAACTGCTAAGTTGGGAAACATGCCAAAGGAGTAGATAAATTATAGGAGGGCAGCGATCAACAGAGGTCGCCAATAGGTAGAAGGGCTGCCTGCGATCGACAGGAGGTCGCTAATAGGTAGGAGAGCCCCGATCAACATCCCGAGTTTCGATAGGAGGGCACCGATAGGTAGGAGGGTGGCAAGCAGCAGGAGGGCGCCAATGGGTAGAAGGGCGGCGATCAACAGGAGGGCGCCAATAGGTAGGAGGGCCCCGATCAACAATCAACAGGAGGGTGCCACCAGGTGAGAGGGCGGCAAGGAACAGGAGAGCACCAATAGATAGGAAGATGGCGATCAACTAGAGGTCGCCAATGAGTGGAAGTGTGACGATCAGGTTCAACAGGAGGGTGGCAATGGTGAGGAGGGTGCCTTTGCCCAAGAGGATGACATTAAACAGGAGGGGACCTGTGGGGAGGGCGCCAATTTAGCAGGAAAGTGCCAGTGGGTAGGAGGGCGGCGATCAACAGGAGGGCGTCAGTGGTTAGGAGGGCGGCGATCAACACGAGGGCGCCAATAGGTAGAAGGGCCCCGATTAACATTCAACAGGAGGGACTAGGGAACCAATAGGTAAGAGGGCGCCATGCAATGGCTAGAAGGGTGGCAACTGGCACTCAACAAGAGGGTGCCAAAAGGGAGGAGGGCGGCCATCAAAATTTCACGAGGGCACAATTGGTGGGAGAGCGCCAATAATTATGAGGGTGCCGACCAGCAGAAGGGCACCATTGTGTAGGGCAAGGTGGCGACCTACAGGAGGGCGCCTTCGGGTGAGAGGGCGCCTGTTTACCAGAGAGCGCCAATAGGTAGGAGTACAACGATCAAATGAGGGCGCCAGTGGGTAGGAGGGCAGCGATCAACAGGCTTGCATAGGCGACTACCGCTACGCTTAGAAAGCTTTAGCCTACAAATGCGGTTGGAGGGCGCCCAAGGGAGCCCTCC